CTCACACACACACTGACAGACACACATACACACACACTGACAGACACACTCACACACACACACTGACAGAACCACACGCACACACAAACTCACATACTCACACACACACTGACAGACTCACATGCACACACACACACACACACTGACAGACACACTCACTCACACACTGACAGACACACATACTCACATGCACACACACACAAACTCACAGACACACATACTCACACACACACTCACATGCACACACACACACACTCACAGTAATTAATAATCTAAATTAAATTAAAATTTACCACCCTGCCTCCCTACCTGGAGAGCTGGCGTGGGTCTCTCATTGGTGGTCCAGTGGGTCTGCTGGGAGGCGTGCGGCTGAATTTGATTCCGAGGTGGCGAGGGAGCTCTAATCTCTCTGATCTGCTCCCTCGCAGGCTGTTTACTGATGCCGCGGGAGCCGAAATATGACATTATATTCCAGCTCCCGCGGCATCAGTAAACAGCCTGCGAGGAAGCAGATCAGAGCTCCCTCGCCACCTCGGAATCCAATTCAGTCGCACGCTGCGCCGGGGATCCAGAAGGTGACCTGGCAGGAGGGAGCACTTTCCTCTTGCCGGTCACTAGAATTTTGCACCCCCAGAGCCGGTGCGCCCTAAGGCGGCCGCCTGTGCCGCCTTATCGACGCGCCGGCCCTGGTTTGGAGCTATATCCCTGGTGGGGATCATACCACCCAAGCGCTTTGGATTGAGCAAACCTAGACTTGCTCTTAAGCATGTGAGTAGGTTTAACTTATTTATTTCTGCTTGCACTGATTTTTACAGTGTACACTATTGTGGTTCTGTTTGTTTATCTCCACATATACATGGACGGAAGAATTTATATCTACACCTGTATCCTTGAGTGGGGATCATACCACTTCAAGCACTATCAGAGGAGCCAGGTTTTACGGCTCCATTACACGTGAGTGTACAGTTTATAGTTTTTACCTACCCATGCTTCATAGCTCTACATACTTTATACTATATATGATTTTTATTTGTTTGTTTTTAGGATAACCCCTACCACACCTATAACTCAAAGAATTGCCTCTGCACTTGATCTATAGTCGGGGATTATTCTGCCCAGGCGCATACACTGGAGCTCTATTGAAGCTCCAGGAAAGTGTGAGTGCACTTCTTTTATTTTACTTATCACCACTACAGTTTTAAATACTACACTATTATTTCTTCTCTGGTTCTCTTCACATATACCTTGTCAAGGATTACTGAAGCGCTGCACCTACCCCCCTGTTTTTATCCAGTTTTCTGATCGGAAAAGAGAGACTCCGTATTGGTGTTCAAGCTGCTTTTGGCCTATTATCACTTTGCTTCTGCGCTGAATTTATTTTTGTGTGATGGTTTTATATATGAATATTTAACATAGGGCACTACAGTCTGTTTGTTTTATTTGTGTATTCTAGACTGTACTCAAATTCTATATAGTGGTTATATATTTCTTTCATGTCCTGTGCGCTTTAACCAATAATTTGTTTATTATGGATTTTTATTTATTTATTGCATTAAATATTGCTGTGTCATAGTTTCTATTTAAATACTAAATACACATGTATCATTATCTTTATGACTGCTTTGCAATATATATGCGATTACATACATAATTCACTGTCATTTTACTTCCTTAAACTCTTCATGGTTTAACACAGGATGCTTTTCTATTTATAAACAAATGTATTCAAGAGAGTTGACATCATACAATAAAGAAATTGTTTTCTTCCTTGTTCTGGGGAAATTTTCCACTTCCTGCATTTTTTACTGGTTAAACCCATTCTCCGGTATGCTTGCTACGCTGATAACATTAATTTAAATGATTTATTAATTATTAATATTAGTTAAATATACAAAAGGAGACAGTTTTACTTTTGGGATTTTAGATTATTTGTATGAACCTAGCCATGGAGTAAACCTCAAAAAGATGTTTATTGACGTTGGGATGTTCCATGTGTCCCCCACAAAGTGAGCTTTAAGGTTATTAGGACAGTATGGAACATCCTAACATTTTGGTGTGAGCAAGGTTAAAAACAATTTAATGACTCCAGACAGATGAGCAGTATGCAACTCTCAAAGTGAGCTCAGCATACAGCCCTTCAAATCCCCTTAAATCACTACATCAGAACAATTGTGCTCGGCTTCAGTGATTCTCTAGCGCAGTCTTCCCCAAACTCTGGCCCTCCAGATGCTGCTGGACTACAACTCCCATGATTCTCAGCCTAGTTCATTCATAGAATCATGGGCGTTGTAGTTCAGCAACAACAGGAGGGTCGTTTGGGGAAGCCTGCTCTAGCGGGTAGTGCTCAGAGTGAGACCCCTAGAATCTTAAAAAGACCCAGAAAGCATGTTCTTGCATGCTCCCCCACTGCTCCCCCGATTGCCAGCATCCCAGCACTGTGTGTTCACAGTGCAGTTTAAGCATGAGAGGAAGATCTACCTCTCATCAGGGCCGGACTAGGGATACAAAGCAGCCCTGGAAAAAAAAAATCTACGCCAGCCCCATAAGTCATTGCGCCATATATTATTGCATGTAATATGTAAGGCTATGCCTTGACATCCCAGATGATTGATATATTTTGAAATTTTTCTAATATAAAATATTGGTCCTTTCAGAGTAAAACATTTAATTATACAGTAAGCATACTCACATGCGGACACCATAGGCGTGCACACAGTGGTGTATTTTAGTTTTGTGCTGCCCTAGGCATGACTAAACCTGGGCACCCCCCTAATCTAAATTTGCCCCACCCCTTCCTGTCAAGGTCACACCTCTTCCTCTTTAAACTAAACCTTTTCCTACTACTTTTAAAGGGAAACAATAGTGCCAGGGAAACAAAGCTGTTTTCCTGGCACTATAGTTCCAAATAGTGCCCCCCTCGGTCACTTACCTGAATCCAGTGCCGATGTCCCTCGGCGCTGGGTTAAGCTCCTCCTCTGCGCTTGCATTAGGCATCCCCATAGGAAAACATTGTATCAATTATTTTCTATGAGGATTTAGCAGACGCCTGATGTCCTAATGCACAGCGTGAGGATGTCCAGCATCAGTTAGGTGACTTTTGGTCGCCTAACCACCCTGAAGTCCCTCTGGTGGCTGTCTGGTAGACAGTCACCATAGGTGGAGTTAACCCCTCAAGGTAATTATTGCAGTTTCTTTAACACTTGCAGGGTTAAAGAGATTGGGACACTGCACCCAGACCACTTAACTAGGCTGAAGTGGTCTGGGCTCCTATAGTGTCCCTTTAAGCACACACACTGACACACACATTCACTGACAGACACACACTGACAGTCACACAGACGTCACTGACAGTCAGTTATTAATACGATTAAGCCAGTAGCTAGAGATCCCAGACCAGATCTACTGTTTTAGCATAACTATCCGACTGCTGATTCTAGCAGAGGCAATTCCTCTGAGTTAGGGGTAGGGTAGGTACAAGATTTGTGGGGGGTGGGTTGGTAAAGGATAATCTTGAACTACCAAAAATGTAAATCCTAGACATATTAATTCAGAGTCCCTATCTCAGCAGGGGCATTACATCACATTACTTTGCTGTGACAAATAGAATCAGTGGTGGGATTCAGCTGGTTCGTGGGAAACCTATTACTACAATTTTGCAACTTCACCAAACTGTGTCGGCTCCTCGGTCCATGCCCCCAGGTGCGAGGCCCCTCCGTGTAGTGTGCCAGCGCCTTTGGTCTGTAAGTTTTTGTAATTGTCTCATTTATTGTTAAATCTCCCCCTCCAATAATATTGTAAAGCGCTACAGAATTTGTTAGCGTTATATAAATGTCAATAATAATAATAACAACAAATGTCTTGAAAATAACAGCCTGCACTCCACTTCAAAAATCATAGCTGTACATACTGATTGTGAGCATTCTGCTCAAATGCAGACATTAATTTCCCATTTAGTAAGCTGTACTGCTAGTAATGCTTTAAGGGTACTTAAAAATACCTATACGTATGGTATTTAACCATTTTTATTTATCAAGTTTTTTCACATTTTCTGCATGTGAGAAAAATCATATAGTTTACATGTGTCTGTGGAAACCATCAAAATCTCCCCTTAGCTCATTTCATATGGAAGCAAGAACCTTACAATTTTAGCATTGGTTATAAACTTATATATTATCTCTCACGTATTGAGAGATACATTACTATTGATCAATCTTATTTAGAAACAAAACAATCTAATTGTAGATAAAATGTTTTTTCAACAAGCAGGACAGGATTAGCCATAAGGGACCCAAGGGTTAGACAGGGTCCATGAACCATGAATTTGCTTGGCCCCATGAATCATCCCCAAACTGGCAATCTGCTTAGGGCCCCGTGGGATCTTAATCTTTCTCTGCTCACAACCAAATAAAATGTCATATTGGTACAGTCATGCTATATGGATATGTTCAGTTATCAAATATTTAGAGACTTTCTTTTGAAGAAAACCTTTTATTTTCAGTACACATGTAAATAGATTTGAAGTTTGCACAAAATCAAATCATAACAAATGCACTAAAGTTACATTTTGTAAACATATGAGCATCATATTTATAAAATATTTTAAAAAATGAAATTTAAGGAAATAATATTACTATTACTGTAACACATTGAAAAATCTATGACATACATGCTGGAGTTACATCCTTCAATAGTGTGTTTCTAATGTTATCACATTAGCATTGTTTTATCTTTATAAAATAATAAATAGAATAAATTGCAAGTGTCTAGTTTGGAGGTTGATCACAGTGTTCTATGCAGCCAGTAAACCAATAAAAAATTTTTACAGTGAAATCACAATAATTCATTAATTTACAACAATAAATACACGATTGTACAGACTTCTACCGCCATGTACAGCAAATAAATATACATATTTTATACTATTTTTATTTGAGTTTTCCATGCCCTGCCAGCAGGACTGTTCTCCATGTCGGTACTTCTTAAAAGTTACTTCTCTCTCTCTACAGAACCTCCTGTGTGTTCTTCGCTTTTTCAAACAGCTGCATGATCTTAGCTGATGGTACACATCCCTCCCTCAGTATTGTGATGGTGCCTAAAAAGAAGCCACGAGCAATTAAATTAAAAAAATTATAAACAACTTGCTAATCCACAATGTAAACACACAGTGACAAATATTATTCATGATTACTTCCTCACACTTCAAACAACAAAATAGCTAACAAAATGTTATTTTTAAAAAGTCACAATAGATTTATTTTCATTTTACTTTACATGTTGGGATGGACAGTTCTGTATTCCTAACATGAAAGTGTTCCTTTAATAACACTAACACAACACATAGTTTGGCAAATGTTCAATTTTTTAAAAATAGGCCACATATCCATATCTCCTCGATATGTGAATAGATAAGTACATACTGTGCTCCGGGATATTTGAGATGCTTCTCACTAAAAAGACTCACCTTCATCTATCTTCGTACAGTTTACAACAGTAGATCCCACCAGCTCATTGGAATAACCATCGCACAGGATTGCATCAAGTTTGTCACTGAGGCGTCTGAGGTAGAGAATTTAAATTTTGTTAAATAGAATCACTAAGGGCTTTAGCATAAAAGCAATTTTACTAACTACTGGATCCTGCTTTAGGATAATTTAATGGATTTCATAAGCTTACTACATAAAGTATAATTTTGGTGTACAATGGCGTTAACAATTTACAACTAAGTTCCTACATTATCACACATCATAGCTATTGCTTCAAATTACCTGACTACACATTTCCTCTTTTCTGTATTTCATAACCATCTCCAAAACGTATATGCTACTTTCCTGGCTTAAATAATTCCCAGCAATATGTTTTTAATGCCTTTCTGAGGTTCAACTAACTTGAATACTCAATGTTCCAGTACCTATGTCATTAGCATGCCAGTTACCTGACAATTACATTTCTCACATTATTATTAATAGCATTTATCTAGTGTTAACATATTCCTTAGTGCTTTACAATGATATAAAGGGGCCCTGCTCAAAGACGCTTACTACCTAAACAAGGATTTTGAGGTGCACAGATATATATTATTAGGTGTTTTGCCCAGGGACACTTACTGGAGGTGGTCAGACCAGGATTCAAACATGGAATTCTCAGTTCTAAGACAGTGATGTTACCACTGATCTAACCAGCTAATACATCTGACATAACACTGGAATATCACTTTTTTTGTTTTGCATCTGCCCCCTACATTTATGTTAATTAATGTGAAATATAATAACAATCTTGTTTGCGACTTACGTTATCACCATGTCATGGTGAGTGCTGTCACTCTCTCCACTTGGATTGGCTGAGGTAATAGCCAATGGTCCGGTCATGTCAGTAAGGTGAGCAGTGACTGAGTGGTCAGGAACCCTTATCATAATGGAATTAGATGTCCCAACCTGGTCATATGCAGGACCCACACCTTAAATATATAAAGGAAAAGGAGTGAATAGTCATCCCACCACATACGTGCTATATATGTTCAGACTTCAAATAATCTTAGGCAGCTATTAAGTTAGGCCATAATATCTACAGTGTTTGAAAATCACAGGTTTGTTGAGTAAATAAAATAGGATGAAATTTTTTAAACAGTGTATATGTAATTTCTGTTCTTTAGTTTGCTTGAATAAAATGGTGTGTATGGATACAAAATGTGAGCTTGTCTGTGTCTCCATGCCTATGGCCAAATGGTGAAACTTTGCTTACCCAATTTTTTCAGCCATTCCCCTTTCTGGACAATGCAGCTGATTCCCCCAGGGTAAACTAGGTCCATAAACCTCCAGAGAAGGGGGTTGAATGGAGGATTAATCACTCTCAGCTGATCGAGGTTAGATATACAGATGCAGATTGGCTTTTCTGTAGGTCGTTCCTGTAAAGGCATGAAGAAAATGTTAATAGTAAGCATTTACTCTCTGCTTCCATACGTGAGGTGTAGCTGATACTCTTCTAGGCACAGTGAGCATGGGGTCTAGAATGTTATCAGCTACACCCTAACGGACAATGGTCTAGTGGGGGTATCAGCTACACCTCATTGACAAAGGTCGAATGAAGGTCGAAACAATGTTCTAGGATTCCTACATCTAATTTGCAAACAGTTAGCAACTGCCTTCTCACCTTGATAGTGTAAATCCTGTTAATGGCATCTGGGTGTTTGCATGAAGCAGCAAGAGCGTAGACTGTGTCAGTAGGAATTCCACATACTCCTCCATTCTCCAATATCTTTGCAATTGTTCTCAAACCACTTGTCCGGCGAGATTGTGGTAAGATGCATGAGGAGTCTGAAGTAACGTCGTTCTTTTTTGACTCTTGTTTCTGTCAGCGGAAATATCAAAAGCACAATAGTTAAGAAAATGAGAAATTGTGTCTCCCTGGTAAATACGTCCAAACAGGTGTTACTGATGAATCATTCATCATGTATGTACTGTATCGTTAGTCTTAAGCAAGTGAAACCTTACAGACCTATTATACACTTATGGAGAGCTTGTACTGATTTTGGAACAATGTTCTTAAATAAGCATTTGTACAGCAGCTATTTTGTGTGTGTTTGTGGGTGGGGCATAACCCTCATTTCTCTTTTTTTTGTTTTGGTTTACATAAAAATGTTACTGCTTCTCAGGTGGCAACTCTACCACTGATTCTATAATTGATCTCAAACTACATATTAAGGGAAGGCTTCGACCACAATTCTAATAAGTCTTCCATTTTTGTATGCAGTGTAACGTGCGTACTGTTAACCTAAATTAATTTGTGTTTATAGAAAATATACAATGTTATTATACTCCGTATGTATATAAATTGTTCATGTTTTAAATTACCTTAAAGATCGCTCTACCCATTGGAATCAGTTCTTTGTTGAAAATGCAATTCGCCAGCGAAGCCAAAAATCCATAGGCGCAGACAATGCCATAGAGTGATAGTACAGTAACTGAAACAGATATACACGAGTGGTTGAGGTTAATGAGCCATTTAAAATAGAAAACAACTAAAATGTTCCTATGCATTACTTTTTGTAATAATATTTATTGTATTACATAGAACATATGCCCAGCGAACAAACCTGCTAAACACACTGCTAATCATATAGTTACATGCTGTTCTTGTTTCCTCCCAGACAGATTTTAATATCATTATGTTACTTGGAAGAAACCAATGTGTGAGTAAGATAGTTTCATTAGTACTATTTTATAGTGTTGCAAAGAGAAGATTCATAAAGTTTTAACTCAGAAACCCTTTATACATTGTACAAACTTACTCTCAAGAGGGAGAGGCAGCCGTCCAAGTGTGAACAGAAGGAATGAAACAAGTACGGCCTCCATTAGTAGAGTAACGATGAATAGGATAACATTGGCTTGTATAGCTGAAAATAAGGGAAATAAGGTGAATTTAGCATAAATGTCACACAAAAGTGTTGTGAGCTATATGTTTCTTGGAAACAATTACTTACAACTTGTTTAAACTTTTTTTTTTTTAAACAGTTTTTCTAAATTTCCTTTTAAAATTAAATATATACAAAAAATGACAAATTACATCATAATCCAGTTCTGACAGGGTAACGACAGGTCAAACATTGCAAAATAATACAAATTGAATCATTATTTAATTTGTTCCCCTCTCAGTATGCTTTCTCTGTGAAGGACAGAGTTTATTACAATGATTGAAATGGAGTTAAGATGGAGGTACACATCTACAGGAAGAAGAGCTGTTGATTTCTATATTTATTTTTATTTTTCGAATCTCATAAATACGTATTTGTTCAATACACGGACAAGTAAACATAACGTTAAAAAACTGAAGAAGTGGAAGTTCATCTTTAAGAAAATCACTACTTGAGTATGTACACAAGGGAAATATTGTTTTTTAGTCTTACATTATTGTCTGTTAGAATACTGCAACATACATCCTAATTGCACTGCAACTGTTCTTATATAAAGAGGGCAATTAGAGCAGTACTCGGCTTTTTAAAGATGTCATTGTGATGGCACATGTTCGTATTATTGCATGTTATTTAATTTTGGGGAAATAGTTACATTATTCTGGGTGCAATTAAACATAAAAACAAGCTCAGAAACAGCAGATGCATATTTGTATCTATGTACGTACCTATGATTATCAAAAATATGTTGATAATAAGGAAAGCAATGGCACCAACTGTGAATCCTCCATCAGTATTTGCCGTGAGACCTAGGGTAGGACCTAAAAATAAACAATACAAATTAAAGAACACAGAGTAACATATATATATATATATATAATTTTATAAAACTATATTGTCCAGAATAGCACCAAAACACAAACATTATTAAACTTGAATATATATCACAATTAGCTGCTTTTTGCAAATCTAAACACATACATACGGTTATTCAGTGTAGTGTGAATTTTCAGAAATACACATTTTAAAGCAACTGTGTTTCCGCTGAGCTTTTTGTAAATATATAGTGACCCAATACCTCTGTAATAGATCTTGAATATATATGTAACAGTATTATGCTATGATCTGTTTTATGTTATGTTTCAGATCCAGAGGTTCCTCACGTATAAGTATATTATTTAGAATTGATTTATTATTGTGCACCCTCCATTATCTTTTATTTTCTTAAGAAATATGGTAGTAGCTATTAATATATTACCTGCAAAGCGCAGCCAGACCCAGGTAGCCCATATAGCAGAGTAGCAAAACGGCAGCACGGAACCAAATCGTCTGCCTCTTTGGACGTCAATTCTAGATACGTAGAGTTGGATAATAGTACCCGGTATAAGCACCCATGGGATGGATAAATACTCCTCAGCCGAATAGTTTAATGAACTCTGGATTGCAGCAATTGATGCTAGACCATTGCATACATAAAATAGGGGATCTGAAAAACGAGAGGAAACATTTTCCGTAATAATTAATTCTTCTGTTGACTTTCTCAGGTGGCGTCTTCCAAAAAGCAGTACGTCTTGAAGCTTTGTGCTGGACACCACTATGTTGCCTATTGGTATCAGAACTTTTTCAGCGATGGTGTTCACAAGACTGGCAAATGTTGAGTACAGTGAGATAACTGTAAATATGCCACAGGTTACGCCAAAGAAGATGTAAGCTGGCTTACTTGGGATTTGTTGGATTGTGGATACAGTTATCAGGGCAAATGAAATATTGTGTATAAGTTCTAGTATATCTTTATTAAGTGACAAAAAGCAGAGCACACAAGCAGCTACAAGAAAGAACCAGTCACCGACCATCACTTCTCTTCTAATGGTTACATTGTTAGGCTCCAGAACAACTGTTATAGTAAATTCCTCCCACGATTTGACCAGCCAGAAAATCCCATGAAAAGCAAATTTTGTGGCATAGTAAATGTCATCTCTGAGATAGCTATAGTAGCTCGAGCAGAGTTGAGAAAGCACATTAATGCTGATCCATATTGCTGCAACATAGAATATTTTTATATATCCAAAGCAATAAAACGCCATGATGAATGGTGAGATGGTATCACATAGGTAACCCAATGCCATGGGTTCAGCATATTTAGTGTTTTTCTTTTTCTCTTCTCCTGCTGTTTTGGAAGAGCCACTGTTTCCAGATCCTAGAAGGAGAACATTAAAGAGAGAATTGCCGAAGCCAGGGAGCACATATCTCTGTGTGATTCCTTTAAGAAGGAGAGCTGCTCCCCCATAAAGTCCACACACGACTATAATTAACTCCAGTACCCCTGAAACTACCAGGGCCCAACGACCAAATAATCCTACAGCCTCAAAAATTAATGTCATTGTCAGAGCTCCAAAAACAAAAGGCATGATATAATTGACAGTGGCTGAGCAGAAAGACAGGATAACAGCGATAACAATATATGAGACAAGCCCAGCCACTGCACTCTCATTGATAGGAAGAGGAGGGAGAGTTGGCACAATTGAACTGTTCTGTGGGATTGCTTCTGATCCCACCAGGATGCGGGTAGCACCATAGCTGCTCCAAAGAGCAGAGAAGGCTATGAAGGAAGTACCACTGAGATGGTCATATTTCCGGAAAGATAGGAATCCAGCAATGAGTTGGGCAATTCCACCAATAAGTATTAGATGAACACCTGCAACAAGGTACAGATACCGGGATGTTAGTTATTTGTCACATAGGCAAACAGCATATTCAACTATTAGAGATGCCAAAAATGCAAACATTATTTATTTAGGCAATGTACATGGAACTGTCAATTGCCATCACATCAATATACCGACATGAGAAAAAAAGATGAAGTAGTACTGAGGGAGAAGACATATAAAAGCTTGAAATATAAGAGAAAAGGGATGAAACAAGCTTACTAAAGGTATGTTACAAGACCAAGAGAGAAGAACAGGGTTGATGTTGGTTCTGTATATATAGAACCAAGCAATCACAGAAGGTCAACCTTATATATAAATCAACAACGCATTCTGAGTCTTCAAAAGCCTTGATTTTAAGGTTGTGATAAGGACTGCACTAAGCCCCATCAATTTTGAGAATTACTGTGCTAGTACATAAAATAAAAACAAAAAGGTGATATTTGAATTTAAAGGGACACTTTAAGTCCCATATTCACTAAAGCTTGTAGTGGTTATGGACTGTGGAGACTAACTGTGGGTGCCATCCTTTTAGTTTTTGTGAAACATTTTTAAGGCAGTTTCATTAGAAAAATCGAAAACAAACAGAAAATTCCCTAAATCCCACTTCCTCCGCATCATGATGAGAATGACTTAAGGGGTTACTTGAATCCTTCTTTAGTATATGATTTTTTTTTTAAACTTTATAATGCCTCTTAGGTCAGTATTAACATTGTCTACCCCCTTTTTATGATCAAATATTTAAAATAATATAAAATTTACATTGAATCTAGTGCCGGGTGAGGTTTTCCTTGCTTGTTTCCACACCCTGTCTGTCATCATGCCGTGTCACTCTGAAGACCAATCAAATGCTTCTGACAGAGAAGCACTTGATTGGACTGTTCTCCCAGGCTCAGAGTCCATGTGTGCACTCTCAGCTGGTTAGGGAGGGAGTGGCGGTGGGCAAAGGTCCAAATGTTAAAAATGTAGGTGGTGGGGACGGAACATATAAGCTGCCTGCAAGAGTAGAAGCTCCCTAAGTCATAAGTACTGGAGGTTTAACTAGTTCCTGGCTCAAAAATGCACAATGCAGTTTTTCGAACAGAAATGTTGCACATTCAAATTCCTTACTCCATGATCACATCAAAAAGCAGAAGTCGTCATGGAGGAGGCTGGAGTAACCCATTAATGATTTCACTTCCTCACAATCCATTCACATATTTGAATATCCTGGTCAAGCATTGTGCCATACAATGAGCAATGAGCGGTTGTGAGCTCAAGAAGGGAGGAGGATTATGCCACTTGGAATCTCCTTGCTATTCTTAGAGTAGCTGAATCACCCCGATCCCTTCAGCACCAGCAGATCAAGTTCTGCTTGTATCAACGGAAAGCCACCAGAAAGATTAACAGCATGTGTAAAATGTAATTTGACAAAAAAAACAAAAACACAGGACTGCACCAATAGACTCCAAGAGCCATAAACCCAATTGCAAGCTGCAGTGATTATGGTTCCCCTAAAACTAATTCAATACTTTGATCCTTACCTGCTAGAATATTTTCTGCTCCAGTAGGAAGAATAGATGTGTGAAATAGAGCAAAGTTTTGCATGCACACAAGAAAAGCACTGACAGCATTTGCAAGTAGTCCCAGAACGGCAGGTTCACTGTAGAACACAGCAGGAAACCCCTCCATGGCCCACTATGTGCGGTGTGCAGATTGTACAGAGAACTGTAGTAAAGAATGTTCTTGTCTTTTTCCAAACAAGCTGTTGCCCAAAACGGTCAAATCTGGAAGAAATATTATTTATCAGTGAGCGTTTGGTTTATAAATTTTTTAAGCATCTGAGTATTCGTTCATCATAAACGTGTCTCTGTTATGTTTTACAAATTATTGATACAGAATCAAAAGTCAGATATGTACCTGTTGAGGCAATGAATGACAAGCTATTATAATTATCCCAGGTGTCAGTGAATGCAGATCATGCTATGTATATGCAACTGTCACCCCATGGCTGTTAATCAAACAGATCCTATAAAAAGACCTTAAGACCGAAAAAATGAAGGGGAAGTAGAGTTGTAAAAGCAAATCAACTTTAAACAAGCTCTTGATATGGAAAAGCAACCCATATCGAAAACGTAACTTTTATTAAGATCTATCAAAATACAAAATTTATACTAACAGGTCCTATAACTTCCTGGTTGTTTAGTGAAGTAAGACTCAATAAACAGGCAATTACCCAGAGCACCTGCCTTGCCTAAACTTTTTGAGCTTCAATGGGATGTCTTTGTCAAAGAAAATTTTACTTGCGAACTATCCCAAATCCCTGTGCGCATTTAAATAACTGGAGGTTTTTAGCATACATCAATGGTCATTGAAGTGTAAGCTCACCTGCCACATCAAGGCAAAACCTCTTAGGTGAGTCCTACACTAAACTCCTGTTATTTAAATGGACATAGGGATTTGGGATAGTGCACAAGTAACATTTTTCTTTGGTCTTGTATGTATTGGGGCCAATGTGTAGTATAGTCATTGCTGCCGCCCAGGAATAATGAGAGTTTGAGCGCAGAACTTAATTTTGTCTGTATCAGCCACAGAAAGTCCGAGCTGGGGAAGAAGGATAGGGCTTGCAAAGGCAACAGGCAAGAGACCTACAGCTTTTGCAATTAAATACATGCATGCTTGTCATCGGGATATATCTATTAAATAGTGTTTTCTTTTTTATTTGGGCATTGAAGGAGGAACACAACAAGCGCCACAACCACTCTAGCACTCTGCAATGTAAGGCTAGCTCACTGGCAGAAAGCACCAGCTTTTGGCTCTCAGCCAATGAGTTAAGCCCTGCATCTACAATAGGTGGGCACCAGGGCACTTCAGGCACCACAACCACTACAGCACACTACAATGGTTATAGAGCTTGGAATGTACATTTAAGGCAAAACTTTAGCAATTCTAAAACTGAGGACTAACTGGTAATGTCAGCGAAAGCAACAACACATCCGATTCACTTTGCACAAGAATTGCTCTATGTCTTGATAATTATTATCCCCATTGTGCTACTTTCTTTAGACATTAGAGCACAGAGTAAACATGTTTCTCTATCTATCTATCTATCCACACTTTTTGCCTAAAATGTAAAATTCAGTTTTCAACTGACAAGAATTTGCTGTTCAGTGAACAAACCCCATTAGACTCTTTCAAGTCTTAAAGAGGTCCATAGAGACAATGCCAGTACAATAATTTATTGGGTGCAGTTACATGGGACCTGAAGAATATGCATTTGCTTGTTCCAACCAATAAAAACGCTCAGAAATGTCAGGGGGGCAAATTAGGGATCCATTACCCAAGGGTTAAAAAATTTATTTTAAGGATATTATCATATTAGCTGACATTGGTTTGTCTACTGAAATAGTATCTTTCGTTTGAGACAATTCTTTAAAGAAACTAAGGTAATAACAATTGTATGTCACTAAGGATAGATATTATGTTTATAAGACTGCTGAATTTATAACTTGAAAATCCCATCCAGTCAGTCCTACATGAAAAAGCCATATAATATGCTGACAACCAAATATTTCCAAAAAAGCACCAGCCAATCTACCAATTAAGACCTTGATGTCATATTTTTGAATAATCTTTTCAAATTATTTAATAATTGTAAATCATTTTGAAAATATATATTTTTTGAAATATTAAAATATAAAAAATGTGCCATATAAAAAAAACTATCAATATGTCAAAAAAGCAAAATATTTTTCAAAATATTACATTGTTTTAAAAGTTTATCCAAAAGTATTCAATTATTGTAAAGAATATCAAACATATTAAATTGATTTTAAAATGCAGTCTACACAGTGCTAAGCTTCCAGAACAAAATATGAAATATGTAATATCCTAAAGCCAATTCCACAACTGTGTTTTGTGACTTACCTGTTGTATAAAGGGATTCAGTGTAATACACCTGCTTCTCCCATTCAGACTAGACTCCAATACAATACTCAGCTTCACTGTACCTTTCTTTTTGTGTTCCCTTGATGTGCATATATAGAGGAACAACTGCAAGATAGGAGGAGCTTAACTTTATTACAAAGAAATCTGTGACCTGCTGGAATGTTTGTATTTCACAATCGGGATATTGTTATTTTTATTACACAATTGGTATATTTTTTTTACCCTAGTGTCATTTCCTTCTTCTGTACTGCACAGTTCTGTGAAATATCCTGGGCTCATTAATTTTCACTTTCTATTACTATCAACAGTCATTTAAAGTCGTATAACACAGGCAAGACAGGAATATTTTTTTAAGTACGCAGTAAAAAGAGGAGTGTTTTGCAAGTCTGACTAATGCAGTGCTGATCTTATCTTATAGGCATATGACAGAAACATTTGAATACATAAAGGGAATCAACACAGTAAAAAAGGAGAGAATATATATATATAAAAAAAAAAACTACCAGAGCAAAAGATCATTAAATTAGAGGGGCAAAGGTTTAAAAATAACACCAGGAAGTATTACATTACTGAGAGGGTAGTGGATACATGGAATAGCCTTCCAGCTGAAGAGGTAGAGGTTAGTGAGGGTGTTTTAGCATGCTTGGGATAGGCATACAGCTATCCTAGCTATATGATAAGGACAGGGACTAATGAAAGTATTTAGAAAATTGGGCAGACTAGAAGGGCCAAATGGTTCTTATCTGCCTTCACATTCTATGTTTGTTTTTCTTCATGTCTACTTCCTGCACTAACTGAAATATCTGGAATAAGGACATATGTACACTATGTTACTGTTTGTTGAACATCATATAAATATATCTGAGAGTGCCAATGCCAGCCCATGTGCCAATATTTATTGCTAGTTACATACGTTACTTAAAAACTGAACTGATTTACCTCTTATACAATGATAAACAAGGTTTATTTTAAAGGATCACTATAGGGTTCGTAACACAAACATTCCTAACCCTATAGTGTTAAAACCACCATCTAGCCCCACTAGGCCCCTCATGCCTCCATGAATAAAGTACAAATGCTACTGTATTCAAGCCTGAAGCTGCAAATCTGCATGCCGTTAGACTCAGAAAAACAAGCAGTCTGCTGACATGTGATAGCCTGATCCAATCACAGTACTTCCCCATAAGATTGGCTGAGACTGACAAAGAGGCAGATCAGAGGCAGAGCCAGCATGATTAAAACACAGCCGTGGCCAATCAGCATCTCCTCATAGAAATGAATTGAATCAATCAATGAAGAAAATTCAGTGTCTACATACAGAGGGAGGAGATACTGAATCACAGGATGCTGTGCACAGTGCTGCCCTGTGCTCTGCTGATAGCAGATCTGAGTGGATGGAGGCATGTTATGCCTCCATCAACTCCGACGTCCCTCTGGTTCACTCAGTGTGACTGCAACTGGAGGTGTTCCTAGCTTTCAATGTAAACAGTGTATTTTCCCTGAAAATACAGTGTTTACATGAGAAAGGCTGCAGGGAGCTATAGTTCTCACCTGAACACCCTCATTAAGCTGAAGTTGTTCAGGTGACTACAGTGTTCCTTTAATCAAGATTGGACAATGTACGCTGTGAAATATATAGGAAATTGTCATTGTAGTGAATACTTCAAATCATGATTATGCTGGTCTATGAAGTTGTTTGCCACTTTTGTAACTTGCAGACTGTGTCTCTAGAAAAAAAACACATGCTACACAGCATGCTACAATGCAATTCCGCCAGTCTACATTACATTACTAAAAGAGGGTTGTGCAGCGAAGTTCTTCCAACATTCTTCTGGGGTCAACAACCCCACCCCAAGTAGCTTGACAGAGCATTATACTATTGATCTTTCTTTTTTTTTGAGAAGCAATGTTTCTAATCACGATTTTGGGCACCATATAAAAACACAAAAAATATATAATGATAAATATCTTGCGGATTATTGTATTAGGAGTCTTTAACCATCAATAACATGTAAATTTCCAATTTTAGGTCTTAAATCTTCATTAATATACACTGTTTTTTTTTCTTTAGGCAGAGAGTTTTTAAGAAGCAGCTGTCTGATTTAAAAGTAAAAATATAAAGCATATCCTGCCCCTTCCTCAAAAATAGAGATCCAGGGTTAAAGAGTCCCAGATCATGGGCTTCATCCCACAAAACCCTCTATCAATCCCCCAAGCATTTTGAGGAGGTGAGGACTTATTAATGGAAATGGCTTGAAGCCACCCAGCCCTTCCAGGTCTTGCCTGTTTCTCTTCCCGACCCCCTGAGCTTTGGGATGGGACGAGGTACGTAGTTAAATACCGCTCTTTGATATCTAGTTCTATATTCAGATCTTTTCCCAACTTATCATTGTCCTGGGGAAAATTGGCTCCCCAATAGATGTAATCACATCTACGCATCTTGTGAGTATTTGTAAAAGAATTCTCTTCGTTGAGAATGAAATTAAATTTTTTTATTTCATCCGATTTTTCCAAAGCAGTGAGGTAGACAAAATAAATTGATCCTGATATACTTAATAAATCTCCTCTACATGTAAACTGAATTATTGTTGTACATTTTTAAAGGTTTTTAGTCCTGATTAATTTATGGGACTCAAGATTTTCACAATATTCTCTAAGGGAAACTGTAGGCACTCATGTACAGTGTCCCTTTTGCACTTAGTGCTGCAATGTAAAACATTGCAGTTCCATAGAAACTGCAATGTTTACATTGCAGCTCTAAGGCTGCCCTCAGTGGCTGTCTGCCAGACAGCCACTAGTGAGCTTCCTGAATTGAAATGGACCTTTGTTTCTGCTCTGCATGAGGACCTCCAGCGTCAGATTTTTCCCCATTAAAAAGCATTGATTCAATGCTTTACTATGGGAAGGTCTAATGTGAGCATGGCACTTACTGCGCATGCGCATTAGAGCCCACTCATCGTGGGACTGTGGTCAACGCAGCGCCGAGGGACATCAGTGCTTGTCCCTTACCGGGGAGGGTGAAGAGGCGTGAGGGAGGGGGGGAACGATAGTGCCAGGATTACAGCTTTGTGCTGGCACTACAGTATCCCTTTAATCCCTTAAGGACCAAACTTCTGGAATAAAAGGGAATCATGACATGTCATATAGGTCATGTGTCCTTAAGGGGTTAAATCTAAGTTCTCAATAATAATCATCATATGCTTTAGAGGCAATGTTAAAGAACCTTGCTTTTCAGATTACTCTTTAAGTTAATTCCATGGAGCAAATACATTCCTAAGTATCAAATTATCTGTATTCCTATTTCCTTGTCTCTTTTTTTAACCCTGTTCCCTTAACTTTGCAATATTACAACTTTGTATTCCTAGCACTATAGTATCCCTTTAACAAAGTAATTTTGAGATTTTACACTATCTTCTTTCAATTTCTTCTAACTTAGACTATCAAAAGAGTTTCAAAATTCATCATATTAGCAGCATATTAGAACATTCTTCGGTACACTATCCAGAAGATTTGATGGTCTCACTTTTCTATGGCATCGCTCTAGAGCAGGGGTAGGCAACCTTTTAGTAGCACTGTGCCGATATAGGATTGTGATGTCCCGTAGCGTGCCGGTCCTATTTTTTTTAAAATTGAGGTGTGTATGATACATATGAATGTAGGCTGTGTATGAGGGATGCTTGTGGAATTGTGTGTGTGGATGGATATGTCACCTTGTGTGTTTGGTAGTGTGTGAGGGCCGTTTGGGGTGTTGCATGTGAGAGGCTGTATGTGGGGTTGTGTGCATGTATGTGGATTGTTAGTGGTGTTGCATTTGTGCGGATTGTGTGTATGTTTGTGTGTGGGCTGTCCGTATTATTTGTATGAGGGGAGGGTTATTCTGCATTTCTGTGTATATCTAGCAGTGTGGGTGGCTTCCCTGGGTTCCAGTGGGGACCAGGCCAGCCAGGTACAGGTCAAGGACAGGAGCTGCAACAACAACTGCGAGCTGCTCTAATACTGTGTGGATTCCCATTCACAAGTGCTGGAATGAAGTGCTCTGAGATCACTTCCTCTACGTGCTGCAATGCATAAATTGAGGATTGTCCTTCACCACCTCTTCGTATTAGCAGATATCTGAAGTTTTACTGGGACTCCTGATAGGCCAGAGCCTGTTTGGCTCTAGCAGCCTTGAGTTCTGTGCAAAGGCACCTCAGGTGCCGTGCATGGCACTAGTGCCGTAGGTTGCCTACCCCTGCTCTAGAGGATTGTATTGGGAGTCTGATTGAAGAGCCAGTTTTTTGAAGAACTCAAGCACAAAGTTTTCTAACTTATGTATTATTTGTTCTGATATGTTTGAATTAAATTTATATATGTGTGTGTAAAATATATATATATAGTTTCTATATTGTATTTTTTAATATTGTATCTTACTGTAACAATGCTATGCTTTGTGGACAAAGACCCAGGACATACTTGAAAATGAAAGAAATCTCAATGTATCCATCATGGTAAAATATTTTATAAATAAATAAATAAATATGTCTCCGAGTCTGAGTCTGCCTCAGCTAGCTTTTGTTCCACTTCTATAATTTTCTTTTTTAGGTCTCTTTTAGAGTGTTTTCGCTGAGGAAGTTGTAAACCTAAGGCATCAATCTTGTCTTTATTGATCCCGACCTTTGATCCTAGCACCAGAAAGTCTCTTCTAATTTCTTCAACTTGATTTTAACTAATTTAGACTCAAAACATGTGTCCAAGTATTTTTGCAGGTAGGCTTGTAGGTCCTTTCTAATGGGACTTTTCTCTGGTTCATCTTTATTCTCTGTAATTGTGACTTTTAAAATATCTGTCTTTACCAGTGCCCCCATTTCTGGAGACGAAACAAGGATAGGCGTTTCTTTGTTTTATTCTGGAGTTTGTTTTCTCTCTTGGACAAGTGTTTAGTTTCCTGGCCAATTTTGAAGCCATAGTAATATATCCAGTTCCTGCTTTTTTGTAACTGTATATGTGGCAAGATAAGTTCACCAAGCTCAACCGTGAAAGAATTTCCCTTATGACCAAATTGCACACTCTCCTCACTAAAGTATGTCAGTCAGTAAGGCCCAAGAAGGAAGAAGCATGTGCAAATACAATTCTTTTCTTGCGCAAAAAAGATACAATATTTTCCTCTCGGCTTGTCACAGTATCCCAGTATAGTATCTCAAGCCAAGAGGAATACTCCTTAGTGAGTATAGTGTCGATATTATTTTTTCACTTGTGTGTATATACGTGCACAATACCACACAGATTGATGTGTTCGAGCACAGTGCACTTTGACACATTTTTTTTCACTGATTATTTCATGGTGTATATATTTACACTCTAGTATAAGATAAGTCTTAAAGACACAGTACACTTTATTTCCTCACCCTAAGCCTTTTGTGATATGATATTGTCAGCAGTGGATTTTTTTGTGCTACATATCCATTAATCCAGGTTTGAGCAACATTCAGATTACGGTTGTCTCATGAATGTATTTTCCCATCTCATGTCTTACTTCTCTGACCACCGTCCTCCTTACTTGGTCACTTAGTTTTGGTGGATGACACCTTTAGGCATGGTTACAGTTGTGCCGTTAATGTCCGTTAATGTTTCAACAATGGATTTCATATAATAGATAACCAAAACCTAATTGGGGATTCTCTGAAACTTTGGACTTGTTTTGATAGCTCTTTGGTTTTCATGATACTTTTTGTATTGATATGTTTTCTAAAAAAAACAGGTGTATTTATTTTGAAGTATGTATTTTGGGATATGCAAATTAAATGGTGAATATCCCCTTGAAACTGTTATTATATATCCAGGTTGTAAAAATACAACATGTGGAAATGTCTGGGGAAGGTCTGAGCACTGTGATTAAATTTAGTTATTATTTTACATAATTATTTTTTACTTAGATCAAACAAGTTACAACATATACAACTAGCAGAGACTGCATGTACTGCTAGATGCTATTAATATCCTTAGTTTGACTGAAACATAAATCCTAAAATGGAATTATCTAATACATCACATCATATGTCAACATTTTACTAGCAATTATCTCTTCAAGATAGTGACCTTGAATGGCATATGCTCAGTTTTTTCAGGTGCACTCAGTGCAGTACTGTAATAATTCTGTACACTCTGCTCAAATGGTCTAGGTCAGGGATCGGCAACCGTCGTCACTCCAGATGTTGTGGACTACATCCCCCATAATGCTCTTACACACATAATGCTGGCAAAGCATCATGGGTGGTGTAGTCCAAAATATCTGCAGTGCCGAAGGTTGCCTATGCCTGGTCTAGGTAAAGACACTGCTTTTTTGAAATATTGGGCCCCTTAAAAAAAACATTGGCCTTACCCCCTTCCACACAGAAATATACACACTCCCAGACAGATATAAGCACAAATGCTTTTTAAAATTTTTAATGACAAGCTTTCGGGAGAACCTCCCTTTCTCAAGTCTAAAACATTTCTGAGCAAGACGACACATAGAATTCAAAGTTGAGTTATGATACATGGGTTAAAGGGACATGACACTGCTGATTGTAGTGGTTGCATGTCTGGGGTTGGCTGCTTGTGTGTATGCATTTGGGGTTGTAGGGAATGATAGTGGCTCTAGTGGGGCTACAGTGCTTATAGTGGGGAGATAGTGGCTGCAGCGGGGGGTAATGGCTATCGGGGAGGGATGTGCACTATAATGTAGGGATAAGACCTTTAGGTGGGAATTGGGGTTGTAGTGGGTGATAAGGGACCATTGTTGGGTGGATAGTGGGTACAGTGGGGTGACAGGGGCTGTAGTTGGGGTATATGGGTTATAGTGTGGGAAAGGGGCTTATAGTGGGAAGAGAGGAACTATTGTGGGGTGGTTAGTGGGTATAGTGGTGAGAAGGGGGCTGTAGTGGTATCAAGGAAAGAATCTCAGGCACTCACTGTGATAATTTAAGCAGCTTTAATGGATACCGCAACGTTTTGACTTGTACCCAGGTCTTTATCAAGCTTGTCCATTAAAGTTGCCTAACTTATCACAGTGAGTGCCTGAGATTTTTTCCTTGATACATGTTCTATGGGGTATGCTGACCAATACTCTGTTAGCACCCTGTGATTTTTATGATTGAGTGCAACCCTCTTTTCTCTTATGGGCTGTAGTGGTGTCAGGAGCTGTAGTGGGAAATGTATCAGAGCATTGCCACGGTTACCAGCAGCAGCACTCCGATATAGTGCAGAAAAAGGAGAGCTTCCCTCTTTTAGAGCAGGAGAATAGGCTGTCCAGTGAGGGAGATCTTTGATATCTCCACTGGCCATACCACCCCTCTTCTGCCTGCCCCCCAATGTCAGGGCCTTGGTGTCCTTGTGGGAAATCCAGCCCTGACTACATCCTACACACAAATACATACTTCTAGACACAGCAATATAATAATCCTTTCATCAAGTTTTTAAAG